TAGATAGACAGATAGATAGATGGATAGATAGAAATAGTCAGATGATAGATATAGATGGATAGATAGAAATAGATGATAGATAGATAGATAGAGATGGATAGATAGAAATAGTCAGATGATAGATAGATAGATCGATAGAGACAGACAGAGACAGACAGATAGACAGATTGAGACAGACAGATAGACAGATTGAGACAGACAGATAGACAGATAGAGACAGACAGATAGAGACAGACAGATAGACAGATAGATAGAAATGCAGCTGCTAGAATACCCGTGTGGTTGCTAAGGTGTTGCTATTCGGTTGCTAGGGTACTTGGGGTGGTTACTAGAGCGGTTGCTAGGGTACCTGGGCTGTTGCTAAGGTGTTGCTATGCGGTTGCTAGGGTGTTACTATGCTGTTGCTAAGGTGTTGCTATGCGGTTAAAACCCTAATTTGTGTGATTTAGATGGCAACAAATATAAACAACAGAATAATACAACATTAACCAAATAGGCAACATAATATTTTTAAGTTAAATTACACCATAATGGGTAATTTAGCCTAATTTAAGATATCACTCAGTTGGGGCTTGCTTGTGTGGGAGCACCTTTTGTTTTACAACGATAAATGGCTAAATATAGAAAAGATCTTAGAATAACTTTGTAACAGGGTGGAATGGTTAAGCTTATTTACTTGCCGTCATTCTGTGGAAAGTGTCCAAATGATGATATTTCTTGGGTTAAATTAATGTTGTTAATTTAAGTGGAATATTAAGCCGTAACAGGGTTGAATGCAAAACCTGGGACACTGTTATTTTGGTCATAATAATTTAAAACAATTACTATAACAACAAACTGAATATCAGTTCAACAGACTGTTAATTTGTTGCATGCTTAAAATTTTGTAATGAAGTTGAAAAGCTAGGCCAAAATCCACATTTAAGAGTGATGTTTAATATTTGTACCATATTTGTGGAATGTGCTATAGAAAAACAAAAACATTTTGAAAACTGACAATCAGGTGTTTCAATGGAAGTGATGCAGGGTTTGCTCACTCTAACAAAGTGAACCAAGATGTGCAAAGGCAAACATAAGATAAGTGAATGTGCAATAAAGCATTTACAAACTATCTGCAGCACCGGCTCCTTGTGTAAAGCTGACAGATATTTTAACATTTCCTTTTGCATTCACCTGCTTTGGCCTGTGCGTTGAAGTAAACTATAAATCAAAAGGCGAAGCAAACTGCATTACAGCCTTATGTTAAAGTAATTCCACAATATAAGCATGTACATATGTTTCAATCCATATTTATTGAAACAATAGTTGACAGAGCCAGCATATAACAGAAACTCAATCGTAGGCAGACAGAATTGTTCTCAATCAGCAGTCGTACAGCATCATGATTTAGGTTTTTCTTAATATAAAAGGACATGCAAATGTAGCCACTGATTTTCTCTCATTGGCAGAGTCACCCCGCCGTGAGGATGATGATTTAACAATAGCAGTCACTGGAAACATAAGTTAACATTAACAAAACATTACGTTACATAACATAACGTGTAACGTTAACGTAACATTACACAGCGCGGTTAATCGAGGTCCATGTCCGGCTTGGCTTCTGTGGCGTCTGCACTGTCCGCAGCCACTTGCTCTGTGCCGCTGGGCTGGGCTTCAGGGTTTTCCTGCGTATTGACCGGCCCGTTCGGTTCTGAGGGGTTCTCCTCTTTTGGCAAGTCCACTTTGGGCTTGGGTTTGGTCACAACAGGATTGCAAGCAGAGAATAGCTCCTGTGGAAAATGTAAAGAGATTGAATACGAACGTATTAACCTGGTACAGTTATGGTGTCAGATGGCTATACCATAGTATGGTGGTGGGCAATATGACCAAAATCTAAAAAAAAAAAAAAAAATGGATGAGCATCTCTGTAACTGAGGCCGATGCTATACGCATCCTGATGCATAGCCAACGATACGATACATTAAAAAAGAAACATATGAAGCAGCTACTGATGCGATTCACCCCTATTACGATGCAGTGCAATACGATTTCGATTCGGTTCAACGCAATACAATGCAATAGAAACAAAATATGATGCTATGCAATTCAATATGGTACAGATAGTAGACTTTTATTTCTTTGGTTCAGACAGACAACAAATCATAAATTAAGTGCCTTCTGACTTCTAGCGCGTCGGTCTCCTTAGTGTTGTGATACGTTATATTCACTATATTCGCAGATGAGAGAATGCGCTTGATAAACATTTTAGAGAAGCGAAATCAATCTACATATAAAATATAGGTCACAAATTATTGTACACTTTCTAAATAATAAAAGTATAGCACATCTACTAATAATTATATATAAATAAATTGGTTTTTACCAATGCAAATATGTTAGAAATGATGCATCGCGACACAAAAGCCAACTTGCACCTGATTCACACTTTTTTAAATCGATGCATCAATGCATCAATGCAATCATCTTTTGTTGTGTGATCAACATTAATGACAGACAGTAGCTGGTAAAGTAGGCTGCTGTCACTTTAAGACCCACTGCACAGATCCAATATACTGAAACACATCCAGTTTTCACCAAACGGTTTACGTTTATTTAACTGACTGTGTTTACATGAATACTCCACATGACGGGCATTTTGACATAATTGTGTGTATTTGACTATTCAAGCGCAATAAGATGCGCGAGAGATCTGAATTCACGATCACATGCTGTCTGAGAGGCGGTTCTCTGTGTCTTCACTGCTTATTGCACTTAATAACTCTACTTAACATCTAGCACGTCCCATTCTTTATTTTCTCATTCGTGCATGTTTCTTTATTATTCTTAGGTCAGGTGTATATAACTTTTAAGTAGTACTGTGCTACGCAGATATATTTGCATACCGCGAAATAAACAATATAGCAACATTTCTGTGGTAACTATACTGTCATACTGCCCAGTCCTACCATAGCACTTTGATATGTACCATGCTGCGGAATGACGACATACTCATGTACTCCAGAAAAGAAGTCCATCTAACTGTGACTGACCTGTGCTTTGGCCTGTATCTCCGTCGTTTTCACCACAGGCTCCACGGCGAGACTCTGTTTATTCTGCTGGTTCATTTTACTGTTCATCCAGATCATGACGTCGTTCACCATCCTGTCCACCTTCTGAACCTCAGCCTCATCCAGATGGTCATACTGCTCTTCCTGTAATTCAAAAAGACATGTGAAGCACTAGGCAGGTGCAAATTTGTACCTTATGTAACATTAATCCAGCTCAACCTCACCTTGGTTTTGTAGGCCTCTACAATCTTCATGTATTGCTGCAAAAGTCTGCCCAACTCATCAAAAGCTTTGGGTCTTTCCTCAAATTCTGTGTATCTCTCTTGAATGGGTTGGCCGAGTCTCTGCAAGAACATTTTTAATACGTTAAAGAGGCCCTTCGTCGCATGACGCAAGTATAATTTGCAACGTGTAAAGAACCAGTACTTTGCAGTTGCACTTAGTGGATATAATTTGGTGACTGAGTGCTGTTTGTGTTGTGTGTAACTGGCTTGGTTAGCTGTACACATTCACATCAGCTTACATCATAAATGCTAGACCTCAAAAGACGTTTAGTACCTTCAGTTCAACGAGTTTGTCAATGTATACTTGTTTAGGCTGGTCTTCACCATCCTCATACAGCCAGACCTCAGTGTCCTCCAGTTTTAATGAGAGAGCATCTCTGTCCTGTGAGAAAACACAGACTGAGTCAGACACCACTGTTGGCATTCATAAAAAAAACGATTAAAATCATTGTTGTTAATTCAAATAAAGCTGATATAAAATAAACATACATATTAGATAAAAAACTTAAATTAGAAATACTGCCTTAGCGACTAACTGAAAGTACTAAAATGATTAAAGCCAAAATAAAACTAAAGCCATATAGAAATATATATAAAAAAAAAAAGAATAAAATTGACAAAAGAAAATTTATTTAAACTTAAAAACAACAAAATACTATGGATAATATATAAATAATACTAAAATAGCAATCGTGCACTGAGCTCGCTTTTTAGTAGTTTTTCGTTTTTTATTAATATTTTAATTGAGTGTTTTCAATACTTTTAGAAGTTATTTAAAAAATATGCCGATAGTTTTTTTATTTTTTATTTAGTTATATTAGTACATTAAATGAAATCCAGCTAGGATAAAGTTAATAAATTTTTAACACATGCAAAATAACAACAAAAAGTCTGATCTTTAGGTTAAATAGTGGTATAAAACACCTGACCAATGAATGTCTAGAAATGTTCCAGTCTTTTGTGATTACTAGACAAGGATTTAAAAATAGTTTCATGCACATATTTAATTTCTTTTACTTCATTTATATAAACTGCTTCAAGATTTTTCAAGACATTTCGCAATTTGTAAATTCCCTATTATAAAACAGATAGTTCCGGTCCTTGATTCTGATTGGCTGAGCCGCGTTCGAAGCCGTTGTAAATTACACTACAAACATACACCTTTGTTTACGTTTGTCTGTTGCTCGACAACCACTTTGTTGGAACCACAACTGTTTCTGAGGAACTACATTGTTTGGTGGAAGAAAAAGAATACTGTTTTTATTAATATCATTACACATTATTTGCTCTGTTTTATTTTGTGAAACCTTACTACGTATATGGAAGAACCGTTTTATAAAAGCAATAACCCCCAAGAAGCCGTGGTTTACAGTGAATTTATAACAGCTAAGGGGCGTTGTTAAAACCTAAACCCCGCCTTAGCTGTTATAAATTCACTGTAAACCACGGCTTCTTGGGGCTTATTGCTTTAATTTAGATTTTAAGCCATGTGACTGCTCTCACGCTCTCGTTGACGAACTTCTCGAATATCCCGTGCAGTTTGTCCCTCATCTCGTACACATACTCCTCCACATAGTTGTTGGCATCGTTCCGCTCCTTCTCAAGCTTGTCCTGCATGATCATCTTACCCTGAGGAACAAGAATTTCACAGTGGATTGAACTGACCGTTGAAAATGTTTCCAATTCAGTGGCAGAAAGAGGCTTCCCTACATCAGAATGTAACCGATTATCAGAAAAATAAAAAGTGGGTTGGACTAGGTGTTTCTATTAATCAGTTTTTGATTGTATGTTGAGATGTAGATGTTGAGGCTGATAGCTGAAGTCCTGCATCCG